AAAAAAAAAAAAAAAAAAAAATGATCCCCTTATTATGAAGTGCTGGGAAAACTAGAGTCACTCATTAAACACTGAACAACTGCCACACATCAGGTCCTAGCTGTGCTTATGGGGCTTGCATTCTACAAAGGGAAACAGACACTTATGCAATCATCACTCAAATAAACCTACATTGCAAACAAGATATATATGCACTGTCATGGAAGAAGCATTAGAACCTCTCTAAGTGTAGAATCCTAATCTAATCTAGGGAGTCAGGAAAGACTTCCCTGAAGATAAAATGAAGAGGAACAAAAGCCAAGAGTGGTGGCACTTGCCTATAATCCCAGCAGCTCAGTAGGCTGAGGCACAAGGATCGGGAGTTCCAAGCCAGTCTCAGCAACTCAGCAAGACCCTGTCTGTAAATAAAATATAAAAAAGGGTTAGGGATGTGGCTCAGTGGTAAAGTGCCCCTGGGTTCAGTCCCCAATACCAAAAAAAAAAAAAAAAAAAAAAAAGGAACAAAAGCCACAGTGGCTGAAACACAGGAGGAGAGGGCCAAAAGAAAAGAGGAAGTCTGGGTTCCAGAAGATCAGGCTTTGGATTTTTAAACATTTCATTTTTTTCCCCCCTGGATTGGGGTTTGCTGGGGATTGAACCCAGGGGCGCTTTACCACTGAGCTATAACCCCAGTCCTTTTTTAATTTTGAGACAAGGTCTCACTAAGTTGCTGAGTATCTTGCTAAATTGCTGAAGCTGGTCTCCAACTTTCTATCCGCCTGCCTCAGTCTTCCCAGTCTCTGGGATTACAAGGCATATGCTCTCTGGCCCGGATCCATTTAATGGTTTTTAAACTGAGAATGACATACTCAGGTCTAGACTCTACAAAGATCAGGAGGAATAATGAGTTGGAAGAATAAAAAATTAATCCTACCTCCACCTCCTCCTCCCAGCAACTTGGAATCCTCACCTTCTAGAGTAGTATAGGTTCATTTATTCAAGCACGCATCCGATATATATTTATTGAAAATCTATGTGCCAAGCAATGACCTGGGAGTTGAGAGAGGACAAGATCAAGAGCTCGGTTTTTACAGTTGGGAGCATGTAATCTGGCGCTGGGGTGGAGTTCAAGGAAGCACCTCAGCTGGAATAATAGAGTAGGGTGGGAGCCTCGGAGGGGGTCAACCTACATGTCCTAAATGTCTAAATGTCCGAGCCAGAAGAGTCACCTCTGGACGTGAATTTTCATGTCTGTAAAATGGGAGCCTACCTGGTCCAGCTGTTTCAAGAATGGAAGATAACTGTGCACAGTACTTGACATCCAGTGGGTTCTCAGTAAACAGGCTTAACAGGCAGCAAGGTTGTGGTTACTTCTGGAAAAAGGGGCTCGGTGTACCGAGTGTTGTAACAGGCGCCCGCTGATACAGACTGGAAAAGTGCTCTCAGGGCAGATGGGGAGCCAACCGCTTCCTGTCACCCGRCGAGTCCGAGGTTTCCCGGATACTCCGGCTGAAGGGATTTCCTAGATGTTCCTTACGGGTCCCGCCCAGGGCTGTTGCTGCCAGCACCTATTGCAGGTGGGGATGCAACACCACGAGACTTTCTCTGCAGCCACTACCTCGCGGAAAGCGGGTCAGGAAGCCTTTAGCGCAGGCGCAGTCTGCACTACGCGCGCGGCCGCACCGCCCACCAGGGGGCGGGGCCGCGGGGCCTGGGCCCTGCCCCGGAGCGTCCGGCCCCGCCCCGGGCCCCGCCTCCGGCTCGCCTAGTACCGCGGGGGCCGGCAGCTGGCGGGCGGAGCAGCTCTGGGAGGCCTGGGCGTGGCGAGGAGGGGGTGCGGGGGTTGGTGGCCTCAGCTGCTGTTGCCGGGGGGACTGGTCGGTGACGCAGCCGAGGGCGGAAGTGAGAAAGTTGTCGGTGTCCCAAGAAGAGTTGGCGGAGCTGTGCGCGCGGCGCGGCAATGGGGGGTTCGGGCAGTCGCCTGTCCAAAGAGCTGCTGGCCGAGTACCAGGTGCGCGGGACGCGGGTTCTCGGGGAGCTCGCGTGCCGGCCTGCGCCCGGAAGCGGTGTCCCGGGGTGGGCGGCCCAGCGGCTGCGGCCTCCGGACGGTCGGCTGACCTCCCTTCTGGTTTGCCTTCCAGGACTTGACGTTCCTGACTAAGCAGGAGATTCTCCTGTGAGTGCTGCCCTGAACCCCACTTGCGACTTGGGATCCTCTAGAGGCGGCTTTGGGGGTCACTGTCTTATAGATGGGCAAACTGATCCCCTGTTGGAGGGTGGGGCAGGGCTTGCTGGAGTTAAGCAGCGGAGATGTTACTGGAAGCGAGGAGTCCAAGCCCAAGGCTGCACCCCTTTCCTGGTACACCCTCTCGTGTCGCGCCTGGGGCCCCAGAGTTGCACCGCAGAACCACCTCTCAGGATCCGGGAAAAGTTGGGAGCTGTTTGACCCTGTGCTCCACTAGCTTCTGCACTAGCGAACATCCTGCCCCTGTCCTGCAAGGGTTGCTGTGGCTCTCGCGGCTGACTTTGCCCACTAACAAAACCAGAGAAGCCTTGGAGAGCCTGGCGTTTCCTTCCAACTTAACTTGAATAATATAGTAACTGTTAACACTTCTTGAGCATTTACCTAGGCCAGGAACTGTGCTAAGTGGTTGCCTGTATCATCTAACTTAGGGAGGTATAGGGCAAGGAAACAGGTACAGAGGGGTTTGGTAACTTGCCTAAGACTACCTTGGGAGGAAGTGGATTTGATGTGGGTTAGAACCCTTGAATGAGAAGATTCCTGGACTTCCCTTGGCAAAGATCATTCCATTGGGAAGGAGGTGGGGCTGAGAAGGAAGATAGTTCAGGGAGGTCTGGAGGAGTCCCTGGAGTGAAAGAGAATGAGATTGTGGTTTTGATCTTTTCTTTCTGTTCTTAAGGACCTTTTGGCTCTTTCTCTAGTCTCTCCATCCATCAGTGATCTAGAATCAGTGCCCAGCACAGTGCCAGAGAACACACAATAGGCTCTCAGTAAATACCTATTGCAAGAATGGACTCCCAGCCTGTACTGTCTTGTGACTTATATCCTTTTGACTGACCATTGCCCAGTGACTCAGAAGCCCTGTGTGTGGCTTAGCTCCTCACCTGATTTATAAAGGGTCAGGTGGCAAGGCAAGGAATGGGAATGCAAGTACATACAGGGAGACCAATTGCTTGAGAGAGACCAGTTCCCCTCTCGTTGTCAGAGCCCACAGGCGGTTTTGTGAGCTCCTTCCCCAGGAGCAACGAAGTGTGGATGAATCACTGCAGGCACGGGTATCCTTTGAGCTGATTCTCAGCATTCCAGAGCTCAAGGTAAGGCTCCCCACCCCCTCTACCCACCTTTACTCTGCTAGACCCCCTAATTCTTCCTGCCACTCAAATAGAGAAAATGGTGTCACTGGTCTGTATTCCAGTTTTTATTTTTTTCCTGCTTAGCTTTAACTTTCTGAGGGCAAGGATTTATCAAATTCATCCAGCAAGGGCTGGGGTTGTGGCTCGGGGATAGAGTGCTCGTCCAGCATGTGCAGGGCACTTGGTTCAATTCTCAGCACCACATAAAAGTAAGTGTTCAACTAAAAAAATATTTAAGAAAAATCACCCAGCAAAATTATCTAGAATGTTGCTATTTATTTATTTATTGGTACTAGAAATTGAACCCAGAGGCACTTTGCCACTGAGCTGCATCTCAAGTCTTTTTCTATTTTTTATAAAGGGTCTCACAAAGTTGCTAAGACTGGCCCTCCCACCTCAGCCTCCCAAATCACTGAGATTATAGGCAGGTACCACTATGCCTGAATTAGAATGGTGCTTTTTAAACTGGGATTCCAGGACATATTCTTGGAAGTTCAGACAAGTTTTGTCCTTTAAGAGGACAAAATCTTATTAAAGTTTGAGAAACCCTATTGCACAGGTTGGTTGTAACTCAGTAGAGCTGCTGTGAAATTTTTTATACAAAGAGACTAACCCAATTCTTGTAACATAATAGTTGTTCAGTTAAATACTTATATTCCAAAATAACCAGTTCATCTTTTTTCCTTCCTCTTCCCACTCTGTTCTCACTTTGAGTTAAACAGACAGCCAGGAAGCCATTCCTGCCCCTTCTCCAGCTGGCTCATTTAGTGCCCCCTGCGCTCCCCTACCAGGGCCTTCTATCCTGGCCCCAGAGCTTCTTCCCCATAAATCTGAGCTCCATGGTGCTGGTACTGTGACCCACTCCATCAAGTTTCTGATAGGGTCTAATGAGCATGTGACCTGGGGCTACTTCCCAAAGCACTCAACAAAGGCTCTCTTACTTAGGCCAATCCCTTCAAGGAAAGAATCTGCAGGGTCTTCYCTACATCCCCCACCAGGGATAGCCTAAGCTTTGAGGACTTCCTGGACCTCCTGAGTGTATTTAGTGACACAGCAACCCCAGACATCAAGTCCCACTATGCCTTTCGAATTTTCGGTAAGGACCAGAAAGAACTGGTAGAACACCACCTATTCCAACATGGGCTTCATGGTGGGGCTGTTTGGGAAGTGGGTGGCATTTGTGCATTTTGTGGTGCTCCTCCTGACCATGCCCTCCTATGTCTGCTCTCTAGACTTTGATGATGATGGAACTCTGGACAGAGAAGACCTGAGTCAGCTTGTGAACTGTCTTACGGGAGAGGGCGAGGACACTCGACTCAGTGCCTCAGAGATGAAGCAGCTCATTGATAATGTGAGTAGCCAGATCAGGCCTGATCTAGCTGGGCTTGGGAGCAGGAGGCAAGAGTTGGGGCTCTGGCTTAAAGCTCTCCCTTTCCCAGATCCTGGAAGAGTCAGACATTGATAGGGATGGGACCATCAATCTCTCTGAGTTCCAGCATGTCATCTCCCGTTCACCTGACTTTGCCAGGTATTTGGTAATGGTTGCTCTGCATTCTGGGGACCAGGTCTCAGGTCACTCTTCTTCCAAAGGAGAAGGGACAGACTCACATGGGACACAAACCATTCTAAAGAAGGTCTTAGGGGGAGGGGCGGCTAGGTTTGGATTCAGTCCCTACTCTCCTCTTCCATCAGAAAACCCCACTTGGGCTGGAGGTGTAGCTCAGTGGCAGAGCATATTCCTAGCATGCATGAGGCTCTGGGTTCCAACCTCAGCACTGGGGAAAAAAAGAAAAAGAAAATCCAACTCACTCTTTTCTGTGCAGTTCCTTTAAGATTGTCCTGTGACAGCAGCCCCAGCGTGTATCCCAGCACCCTGTCCAAGACCTTTCCACTGCTGAGCTGTGGCCAAGGTTACGCCTGCGTTGTCAGGGCCGGCCAAGCAGGCCCAGCCTGGAGCCGGCACCGCGCAGTCTGGTCCCGGGCAGGAGAGGACCCCACCTGCTTTTCCCTGCCATTGTCATCACTCTGTTTCTACTAATCAATAATAAAGGTTTAGAGGTTTTGATCCTAAGTGTGGCACTAGAAACACTGGTATAAGGAAGGACGGAACTTTTAGAAACTTTTGATCATACTAGTAATAAGTCACATCTAAAAATGGGACCAGCAAGGCATGTGGCACATGCCTCTAATCCCAGAGTCTTGGGAGGCTGAGACAGGAGGATCACAGCCTCAGCAATTTAGCAAGGCTCTGAGCAACTTACTGAGACCCTGCCTCAAAATAAAAAATTAAAAGGGCTGGGAGTGGTAAAGCATCCCTGGGTTCAATCCCCAGTACAGTAAGAAAGAAAGAGATATAGAAAAAGAAAGGTTGGATCAGTGAGAAATCAAATCCCTCCCACCCCTGAATGAAGGTATAAGGAGATAGCAGTGAGAGGTGGAACTCTCTAGAATTTTGGCTGTGGTGGTAGTTACATGAATTTTGGAATGTGTTAAAATTTGAAGAACTGTATACTAAAAGAAAAGTTAGTTTTACCATATTATCATTTGTGAAATTAAAAATTGTAAGAGGCTGGGCATGATGGTGCACTCCTATAATCCCAGCAACTCAGAAGGCTGAGAGAGGAGGATTGTGAGTTCAAAGCCAGCCTCAGCAATTTAGCAAGGCCCTAAGCAACTCAGTGAGACCCTGTCTCTAAATAAAATACAAAATAGGATTAGGGATGTGGTTCAGTGTCCAATCCCTGGTTTCAGTCCCTGGGTTCAATACCTAGCACCCCTGAGTTCAATCTCTGGTACCCCCCAACCCTGCCAAAATTGAAAGGCATTTAAGGAAAGTAGGCCCATCCCTAGCTACACTGAACTGATGGACGGAGTGACTCCTGCAGACTAAAATCCCTTAGGTAAGTGCCATACTCCACTCCAGGCTGGCTGTGGTTCACTAATCCTTGGGGGAAAAAAAGCTTAGAACCCCCAGAAACAGACCAACTTCAAAAAGCAAAAGTCCTTTAAGAGAGCCATGATTAAACAATTATTTTTTCAAATTTTATTACAAAAAAAGTAAAGTGCATCTTATTAAAAAATATATATATATAAAACCCATGTAAATTCAAGGCCCTGTGCTGGGCAGTGTCAGTATGGGTATCCCTTAGTGTGGAGTCAGGCGGGGTGTGAAGGTCAACTGGGATGAGAAGAAGCTGGGATACAGTCAATTCCACCCTGTGCTTAAGTTCATAAATGGGGCTGAGATGGTGAAAGGGACACAAGAGTTGTCTCTCTGACTGGGATGAAGGCAGGCAACGGTTTCTTCCTTCCTTGAATTCCAATGGAAATGTGTACATTGTCACAATCTCTCCCAGGCTCATGCTCCTTCTCTTACGTGGCCACAGCCTGACATGGGCAAGAAGGCCCAGGAGCTGGGTCTGAGCCCAGGGCCTAAGGAGGGCTGCAGAGCCAGCCTGGCCCTCTGGTCCCTGAGTGGTGGGGTGATGGCGGCACAGCTATATCCTCAACCAGGCAATTCAAGGACCCTCAGAGCCCAAGCTAGCCCCTAGCTCTGCAGGGAGAAGGGAAGCCTATGGCAGGAGGATAGGCAGAAGGTAGAGGATACCAACTGGGCAGGGATTTCCAACTCTGTCTCACACAACCACTTTGAATAAAAGTCCCAAGAATCTGGGAGGCCGTGAAGGTAGAAACCGTGTGTCTGTGACATGGCATGTCCATGTTCTCTCTCTTTCCCATCTGGATTCACATTTTCAGTTGTCTTTTTAAACCAAAGGCTCAGTTTACTTAGGAGCACTGTTCTGCCCACCTAGGCAGGCCCCACTGGGCCCTGGAGGGCAGCCCTCTTATAGCTTGCCGGGCTGTAAGACTTGGTTGAAGAGCAGCAGGCCAGCTAACTCCAAGGCTCCCAAGTGCAAGGAACCCTGGTTGGGTTCCATGAGAAATGGAGGCCTAGTGACCCCCTTCTGAGCATTCACAGCCTCTGAAGCCAGGGAAGCCTCATCTAGAAGTCAGCTGTCATACCACAGAGTCCCGGATCTCAGAGCCCAGGCGGACCCGGGGCCGAGGGCACACAGGGGACACCTCCACGAAGCTGTCCTGGATGCTGAGTGGTCTCTTCTCTGACTCAGTGAAGACCCGAGGCCCTGGGGAGCTATCTGACAAGGCCTGGTACCCTCGGTGGTCCAGTGGAGTGCTAGGAGGACCTACGCCATTGAGTGGTCGGTTCTCAGGTGGCAGCACCACAGGTCGAGTCTTGGGGTGCACACTGGCACGCTCCCCCTGTTTCAGGAAAACTTTCATGCCATCCCGGTGCCGGTAGAGGAAGAATAAAAACAGAAGTACCACGGCGAGCCCAAACAGTGCGCACATCACCAGGAACTCATTCCAGTAGGACTTGTCTGCACCCCAGGTGGACTTGTCACCAGCTGGCGCACTCACTCTCGATGTGTTGATAACGACAGGCACACTGCCGCCCCGGTCTGTTCGTTCCACCACCCCATTCTCCACCACTTCTGGGCAGTAGCTGGCCACTAGCTGCTGGAAGCCTTCCTCCAGTGACCAGCACTGGAACACCCCCAGCTCCTGCTGGCTGCCCACCAAGAGCAAGTCCCCAGTGGGCAACACACGGCAGGAGGCAGAGGCATTGACAGTGGCTCCGTTGTGCAGCCAGAGCCGTGTGGCCAGGTTGGAGAGGAGTGGGCAGGCCAAGGTGTTCACTGTGTTGGGCTGGAACTGAACTTGCTCACAGGACTTCTTGGCTGTGGACAGAAGAAGCATCAGGTACTTGGGGGCTGGTGTCCACAGTTGCTCCAGCTTCACACCCTCCTTCCCAGCTATACTCCTGGTGCCAGGATGGGCAACTCTAGGAACTCCTGAGACTGAGTCTCATTTTCTAGGGTCTCACTTGCCAGTTGAAAAGATGAGGATGTGAGGAAAGGCATTTACACCCATCAATGTTCAGACAGGTCTTCTAAGCAGCCTTGGTCCCACCCCCCTCCTCCAGCCTCTGAGGGTGTACCTTACCTGGTGGTACAAAAGACCGGGGCCTAGCTGAGGAAGTGTTGCAGAGCTCCTTGGCATTGGCCCCCTCGATGTCCTGGATCCATGGCCTGAAGACCAGAAAAAGTCTAGGATAGCACCATGAGCCTGTGTTCCCTCACCCCTCAATGCATACCTGAGCCTGGCCAGGGGACCTGGTTCTCAGGGAACACCAAGCCCAAAGCAGAGGGTAAGAGACTTCCCTGAGCTCATTCCCCAACCCTACATGGCTTGAATGAGCACCTCCTATTTACACACATTGCAGATAAAAGTGACATACTGTTTCCCTTAGTTATAAAAGCAGAATGTGCTCTCAAAAACAGTCTGAAAGGACAGCTGGACCTATATGTAAATATGTCTCTGACTAATCCACATGCATTGATTTACTTCATAAAGAATAATAAAAAGAAAAATAATTCTACACTCAAAATGGAAAGCTCAACCAAGCAAAAAGATATAAATAAAACAAAAATCTCATGTAATCTGCCATCCATTGATCATGACAGCATGTCCTTCCAGGTGTACGTTCATAAACTCCTATTTTTTTGGTACTAGGGATTGAACCCAGGGGCACTTAACCACTGAGCCACATCCCCAGCCCTTTTTCTTTTTTATTTTGAGGCAGTCTCACTAAGTTGCTGAGGCTGCTTTGGACTTGTGATCCTCCTGCCTTAGCCTCCCAAGTTGCTGGGATTACAGGTGTGCACCACTGCACCCAGCCTATTTGGTTTTTTGACATAAAAACTGTCACCAGGGCTGGGGTTGTGGCTCAAGTGGTAGAGTGCTTGCTTAGCACACGTAATGCACTGAGTTCGATCCTCAGCACCACATAAAAATAAAAATATTGTGTCCACATAAAAACTAAAAAAATATTAAAAAAAAACTGTCACCAGATATATGCTTGAGAAGAAAGAATGCTATAAATGGGGAATCTGATACTCCCATGCCTTAAGTGTGTAATAAATTTGTATATTCTTTTTCCTGGGTCCAAACAAAAAGAACACTACAAATAGGACAGATTCCATGGTTATTTAACATTTATGTTGTTTATTTACTACATATGTAAAAACATCTGGAAGAATAGTAAATCAGAATCCTACTCAGATTCTCTTTAGGTGGTAGGGTTAGGGGTAGTTTTTATTTTGTTTATGCTTATCCCTGTTTTCTACAGGAACATTTTATAATCCAAATGTTATTCTGAACCACTCTTTACTGGTTTAATAGACTGTTTTGTAGCCCTTACTGTTCCTAAAACGTATTCACATGCCAATCCATATTCTCCTGCAAGGTTTTTCATAGCTGTGACATTGCATACTCTACCAAATTGTGTCACTCCTTTCCAGGCAGGTAGGGTAAAAACACTATCTGAACTACAAAACAGCTGAGAGGAAGCAGGGGAGCTCAGGATAATTAAGCAGACTTAAGATAGTGCAAATGAGACCAGGTGATGATCCTAGAGAGACCTGAGGAAGAGCTCTGAGGCTGGGTACACAGGCAGGGATGGGAGGGTGGGAGGCCCCAAGGAGCTCTTACTTGAAGTCCAGCTCAGGATTGTAGAGGCTGATATGTTTGCAGCTGGAGCCACTCCAAGCACAGTAGGGGTCTCGGGCAAGAAGGCAGTCCCCACAGCTCCGGTATAGGCTGCAATTGGCCACAGGCACCTGGACTACACCCGAGTGGGAAGCAGCATACAGAAGCCCCTGCACAGCCAGACACTGGGGATGAGAGGCAGGCATGGACAGCCAGGGCCGCCACCCATGACCACACTTGGTTCACATGCCCACTAGCGCTCCACCCAAGAGGCCTCTGTCAGAAAGTGGCACCCTCCACTTTCTGGTCACCTGTGCCATGAGCCTGGATTTCATAACTTTTCATTCACTGGTGCAGGGGAGGAAAAACTGGGTAGGGACTACCTGGTAATTATGGAGGGCCACTCCTAAGCACGCTGCCTGGACTCCTCCCATGCCCACTCACTCTGTGGCTATCCAGGAGCAGGTTCTGCACAGGCTGTCCTGACGAGAAGATCTGGAGCTCCTCGATGATGTGCACCCTTGAGCCCACATCTACTGCCTTGTGCAGCCATCCATCACCTGGAGAATGGACAGCACTCAGGCCCTGGGTACAGTCCACCACCCATGACCCACCAGCCACGCCCCTTACCCTGAGCCTGTGGGCTGCAGGCACTCACCAGTGCCTAAGAAGAGGACATCATAGGTGCGGTGCAGGCCAGGGACCCGGTGCACAGCCACACGCTGGTAGCGGGCTTGTGGCTGCAGCAGCAGCAGGCGACTGCGGACCTGCCCGTCCATCAGAAAGTGGTCCTTGAGGAAGTTGAGCACACGGTCTGGAAGCTGCAAGGACGAGCTGATCTTCCGTTCCCGGGCACTATTGGTGATACACTGAAGGAGAAGGTAGCAGCATGAGCCAGCAACACTGCAGGGCAGCAGGCAGGATGGGGGCCCAGTGGACAGGAGTGTCTTCTGCCCCTGCCCCAGAAGCCATGGCACATTGCCTGGCCTTCTGCAGAGTGCCAGTCAGAAGGCCCAAGGGAAAGCCCAAGGTGTAGACTCAAAGGGCTGACTTGAGTATCCTTGCTGGGCCTCCTTACTCCATTCACACACTGGCCTCAAGAACCATGCCTACTCTCCCTGTACTTCTATCATCTTTCCCACTAGAGTGCTCAGGAAGCCCTGGCTGGGCAGTATCCTGGCAGCAATGGCTACAGTCAGTTCCTGCACCTTCCAGAGCTGCCCGATTCTCTCTTCCTGAGGGTTTCTCTGTGTAAGTCACTCTCAACCAGTGAGGCAGCAGTTGGTGATAACAACTCCAAATGGACTGTTCTGAGATGGGCTCCACACCACCTCGCAGGCCTCACTGAGCCTAAGCTGCAGTCACCCACAGCAGTAAGGGCTCACTGATACACCATTATGGCTTTCTTCTCCCACCTTCACCTGCCTGTTCCCTCAGGCTACTTCCTGGGGTCACCTCCCAAATAAGCTAATGGCACTCATAGCCTTGTTTCAAGGTCTGCTTTTGGGGGAGCCCATTAGGCTAGAATGAAAATACAAAGGTCTATTGCCTTAAAGCCTGTTCATCTGGTCACTTGTTAAATAAAGAGCTTGCAATTGAGTAGGAGAGAGGACCAACTGAAGGGATGATTACAATAGTAAGTAGTAATGGGGACACACTTGCCCAGCCTGAGATAGGACAGGATCAAAGGCATATCAACACACATATTTATATTTAGTGAGTCAAGCAGGCCTGAGCTGTGTCCCCAGTGTTTTGCTTTTTTAATTTATTTTACATGTGGTGCATGAGAATTGAACCAGTGCCTCACACATAATGTCAAACACTCTACTGCTGAGCCATGACCCAAGCCCGCTACCACAGGCAGGTGAAGGTGGGAGAAGAAAGCCATAATGGTGTATCAGTGAGCCCTTACTGCTGTGGGTGACTGCAGCTTAGGCTCAGTGGGGCCTGCGAGGTGGTGTGGAGCCCACCTCAGAACAGTTCATTTGGAGTTATCACCAACTGCTGCCTCACTTACTGGTTGAGAGTGACTTACATAGAGAAACCCTCAGTTTTAAAGGTGAGAAATCAGATTCCGAGAAACTATATGATTTGTTTGAGGCTGGACAGCCTTGGTCCCAGCATGACATGGGGATCCACATCTTCCCAATACAGGCCCTGAGTGCAAAGCCAGTACCTACCGCTCCAGGCCGGGGTGTGGGCACCGGGTGGGTCACAGTGTACCACTGCTGGGTTTCTCGATTCACCTCCTTGTAGAGGCCATTGAAGGCTTTCTGCACATCGTCCATGGTGAAGACACAGAGGGCAGAGCCTTCTGTGGCCCCCCTGTTCCTGCAAAGCAAACAGCCAGATTAACCCAGGAACTCCAGGGGCTCAGGATGAGACCCATAGGGCCCAAAGATTGGCTCCTGGGTCCCAGTCCCAGCCACCCTTCACCTTCCTATCCCCCGCTAGTTCCTGGGAGCCCTACCACTGGGAAGTAAAGACCCCATAGAAAAGAGTGTCACGCCAGTCCTGGGGACTGGGGCTCAGCGTGAAGACGTCCTGTAGCACATTGAATGGGAAGCCGTCATCAGGCCGGGAGCATAGCAGCTGTGCTTTAAGGAAGGATGTCCAGCGCTGCTGCAGCACTCGCTCACCACCCTCATCGCCCTGGAAGAGAAGGAGGCACAGGCTAGCTGAGGCAGGAGCAGGGCAAGCAGGAGGCAGGGTGCTCCTCACTGCCCCTTCCTAGTGGAATGAAAAACAAATGAGAGCTGGGACAAAGTTCCATCTACAATTGAGAAAACTTGGAGTTGAGGATGTGGGAGGAAAGGGCACACTCACTGCTGGTGGGACTGCAATTGGTACAACCACTCTGGAAAGCAGTATGGAGATTCCTTAGAAAACTTGAAATGGAACCAACATTTGACCCAGCTATCCCATTCCTCAGGAGGACTTAAAATCAGCATACTATAGTGTCACAGCCCATCAATGTTTATAGCAGCTAAATAGCTAAACTATGGAACTAACCTAGATGCCCTCAATAGATGAATGGATAAAGAAACTATGGTACATATACACAATAAAATATTACTCAACCTCAAAGAAGAATGAAATTATAGTATTTGCAGGTAAATGGATGGAGTTGGAGTATATCTTGCTAAGCAAAATAAGCCAATCCTAAAAACTAAAGGCCAAATATTTTCTCTGATATGTGGATACTAATCCATAATGGTGCCGCGGGGATAAGGGAAGATTGGAGGAACTTTGGATTGGGCAGAGGAGAGGGAAGGGAGAGTAAGGGGTATGTGGGTGGGAAGGATGGTGGAATGAGATGGTAATTATTACCCTATGTGCATGTATTACTGTACGAATGGTGTGACTCTGCATCATGTACAACCAGAGAAACAAAATGTTGTGCTCCATTTGTGTACAATGAGTCGAAATGCATTGTGTTGTCAGGCATAACAAATTGGAACAAATAAAATAAATAAACAAATAAAATAAAATGGGCAAACAAACCACCAAAAAGAAAATATGGAGGCAGTGTGCATATGCCATCATGAGAGAACATTCCTTACTGTGGGCTACAAAAGACAAGGACCAACAGGAGCCCATATAAACAGGGAAAGGGCTGGGGATGTAGCTGGTGGAAGTGTGCTTGCCCAGCATACAAGCATTACCAGCCATTTTGCTACATGCATGCAGCCTGAGCAGGAGGCTGAAACAGGAGGATTACTTGAGCCCAGGAGTTCTCAGCCAACCTGAGAAACACAGTGAGACTCAGTCTCAAATCAATCAATCAAATAGGGAAAGGTGTCTATGACAGAATTCTGGATAGACAGGGAAAACAAAGCACCCTGATGCAGCATAATTTATGTTTGTAAATAAGTTAATAATGTAAATTCACATATAATTTTAAAAGCCCAGCAACGAACATTCTGAAGTGTTAACAGTGGCCCCTTCTTGTGGGAGTTGGGGGTTAAAACACTAACAGCTTCCATTTGGTCAATGACTCCCACACTCCTAAGAACTTTCCGTGAGTGAATTTAATCCACACTCTGAGGTTAGTGTTGTTTTTATTCCCATTCAACAGATGAGGAATCTGTTAACCCAGAGTGTGAGGATTTATACAAGAGCCTGAAGAGCAGGATTTGAACCCACCAGTCTGATTTCAGAGTCTGTGCTCTTAATTTTTTTTTTTGATACTAGGAATTAAACCCAGGGGTACTCTACCACTGTGCTATATTTCTAGCCCTTTTAGTTTTTAATTTTTTTAAATATTTATTTTTTAGTTGTAGTTGGACACAATACCTTTATCTTATTTAGTGCTGATCTCAACCCAGGGCCTCGCAAGTGCTAGGCGAGCGCTCTAACGCTAAGTCACAACCCCAGCTCCAATTTTAAGCCCTTTTAATATTTCATTTTGAGGCATGGTCTTGCTAAGTTTCTGATACTGGCCTTGAACTTGCAATCCTCCTGTCTCAGCCTCCCAATTTGCTGGGATTACCAACACGTGTCACTGTGCCCAGCTATGCTCTTAATCTTTAAATTAAGATTAAATTAAAATCAAGATTTTTTTTTCTCTTTGGTACTTGGAATTGAGACCAGGGTCTCTTTACCAATGAGTTACATCCCCCTACCTTTTTAAACTTTGACACACGGTCTCATTAAGTCACCAAAGCTGGCCTCAAACTTGCAGTCTTCCTGCCTGAGCCTCCTGAATCACTGTGATTACATTATAGGCCTGTGCCACTGTACCTGGCAAGATTAAAGACCTTAATCTTTATATTGTAAGTGATTTTCCTGTGTACTTTTTCTACATTTTCACATTTTTCAAGTAAGCAAAACCAATAAGAAATCTTTTAATTTAAAGGAGAGACGGGTTGGAGATGTAGCTCAGTGGTAGATCGATCACCAGCCTAGCATTCATGAGACACAGGGTTCCATCTCAGTTCCACATAAAAACAGAAGATGGAAAGACAGACAGTTGGCTAAGCTGCTGCTCCCGGGATGACAAGAAAGACCACAGATGTGGGTTATCCTGCAGCCAAGGCACCAGCCCAACCCACTAACCTTGCAGATGCGGGCGACGCGGGACACGATGGTGTTCTCAAAGAACTCAAACTCCTGCCCAGTCTCACTGAAGAAGAAGTAGATCTTATCATCATCACCTTGCAAGCTGCCCAGCCTCTCTGGAATGTAGGCTGAAGCCACAAATGCAGGGTCTGTGGGGGCCAGTGGGAAGCACAGAGTCAGCCCAGGAACCCTGGAGACAGGCCCAGATGGGGGAGAATGCCCCCTCAGAACCGATGACTGGAGGAGTGGCAGGATAACTTCACCTTGTAGCCAGTTGAGGGAGCTCTCGGTCTTGGTGGGGCGGAGGCTTTGGCTCCGGGAAATGGCCGGGTCATTACCCTGGAAGCTGCTGACTGTTCCAGTGTAGAGCTCACCATCTGCCAAAAAAACATTCCCATGGGAATGGCTCCCTGGGCACGGCTCCTTCTCCCAGCTCGGGGCCCTGAGTGACCCCAGCATCATCCATCTGCCTGCAGTGGGCAGAGACGGAAGCAGGAACTTGGAAAAACTAAACTCAAGGGCAGCCCATGGTCACTCTGTGCCCCTGGGAATCAGTACAGCACAGACCTACAGCTCAGGCCTTGGACCCACCCTGCCCATAGCCAACTCTCCAGCCCTGTGCATCTGCCTGCCTCCACATGAAGGCTTCATGAGCCCATTCTGACTCCAATACTCACCAACCACCAGGGCAGTGGACTTGAAATTGGGGTCAAAAGGACAACGGCCCTTGCCATCTTCCTGGAGGACATTTCCCATCTCATCCCGTGCCAGAGTGAAGTTTTCCACATTCTGTAGGGGGTAGATAGGTGGGTTCTGGAGCATGCCCAGGAATGAAGAATATGCTCAGCAGAAAAGGAGAAAAGGCAGAGAGACAGGGCGACTGCAGGCAGGTGAGCGGGAGAGAGGGTTCAGGTGTCAGGGAGGCCATCCTTCTCACTCTGGCACCTGCCCTGTCTGTGAGATGATGTAGGGGGAAACTATCAGTACCACTTAGCAGAGAGATAAGACCTAGAAAATGATTTAAGCTGGGAAGAGACAGCAACATGATGCAAACCCAGGTATTTCTGATTCTAAAGCTGGGGCTTCAATCCATGACCTCAAATGTCAGCCTCGGCTAGTGTGTAGGACAGGAATGAAACGATGTGGTGGTGGGGGGTGGAGGGGTGCATAATAAGATGACTCAAGAGGTTCAAGTAAAAGCAAGGGAGAGAAGCTGGAGAAAACGAAAGGGCAGCCAGTCAGGGATGAACAGGATCTTTGTTCAAGGGTGATGGCATGCATCCTCTTCCCCCTACAGGAGACTCTGGCTATCAGGGCTGGGCTAGGTGCCAGGGTGATGGGGCTCAGGGCTCTCAGAGTCCACTGCTACTTAGAAGCCCCCCCCCCCCGCCTCAGCCCTATTCTTTACCAAGGGTGTGTGTTAAGAAACAGCTCCCTGGAGCTGGAGGAGAGGCAGCTCCTCCTGTGGGGCTGGCATGGGGTACCCCAGGGCTGAGGAGGGTACTCACAATGTAGGTGCACAGAGGGCTGAAGGCTGCTGTGCCACAGGTGAACAGGTGGCTGCTGTTGAGTGGCAGGAGGATCTTGATGTAATTTTGACAGTCACGCTAGAGGGGAAGAGGAGGAGGATGTCAGTTCCAGCCCAGCCTCCAAGGGGCACCAATGATGATCCCTCCTCCACAGATCCAAGGCCAAGCCAGGGGGTGGGGCCTCTGCTCAGAGGATCTGGAGGTGGGCACTCAAGTTTTGGTACAAATGAGAATCCAGGAGCTTCCAGGAGTCAAGCAGACAGAAGATCACAGCATGTATATGCACCACAGGGGCATTGGGATTTAGCTAGTTTTGTCTAGCAAAGGTTCTGTCTGTCTGGTGAATGAAGGGTACCCTGATGCAGGGGAATCTCAAACTGTTTGCTGTCTAACCCTCTATAGGCTCAGTGAAAACCAAAAGCTCTCCCAACCAACCCTGTGGGAAAGTTACAGCCCAGAGCAGGATACTCTCAGTCCGGAACCCAGGTGCATGTCACTCCATGAGGTATCTACTAGACAGCTCCAACCCCGCTCATCATTCCCAAAACTTGCTCCATCCTTATTAACTGCGATGCAGTCTTTTCAGTGGCTGAAGGCCTAGCCTTGGACTCTCAAACCCCACAATTTTCCATTAGGAAATTTTGGTAGCTCCAGCTTCAAAATACATCTGGAATCCACCATTTTTACTCCTTTTATCAATGTCACTCTAGAAAGAGCCACCATCATCTCTTGCTCTTCACTGTGGCCCACCACCTCTGTCCTGTGCATGGAGGCTCCTTTACCCCGGAGCTCAGAGTCACCCAACACCAGGGGAGACCATGTCACTTCTCTGCTTAGCTCTCCATTTGTTCCCCAAATGTTTCTCTGAGTGAAATCCAAAATCCTGTTTCTTTCCCACATATCTTACGGTCAATTCCCTTACCTCCTTCTAAATCTTTGCTCAAATGTCACTTTTTACATAGTATGACTACATTTTAAAAATTTTCCTAACCACCTTCTCAATTCTTCACTCTGTCTTTCTTTCGAGTGGGGATAACTGAGGATTGAACCTAGGCGTGCTTTACAACTGAGCTACATCCCCAGGCTTTTTATTTTTTATTTTGAGACAAGACATTGCTAAATTGCTGAGGCTGGACTCAAACTTGAAATCCTTCTGCCTCAGCCTCCTGAGACACTAGGATTACTGGCTTTCACCAACTGCACAAGGCTTGAACCTTTACCTCGCCCCCCAAGTCTTGGTGCTCTTTTGCCTTTGCCTTGGCTGCACCTGCTGGTTCAGGATGAGGAGCCTCTGGGACAGTGTGGAGTCCTTCAGAAAACCCTGGGTTGGGCCAGACCCTACTAATGGTTAGACCAAAATCAAACCAGAATTTGTCTGACTAGCTGCCATCAGGGACCACGTGCAGAAGGATACAGCTCCCACCCCATCTATATTGGATGCTGATGGCACTTATTATGTGCCAGGTGCTACCAGCTCATTAGATCCTCACAGTAAGCCCAGTGAGATAGGTATCATTACTACCATTTTACAGGTATATGCATATAGCTTGGCCAGGTGTATCTACTTGTCCAAGGTCATAGAGATAATAATATCAGGGCTGATATTCAAACCCAGGTGCTGCTATCTCAGAAGTCCATGCCCTTTCTGACATACCTGGATATGTCTGCTCCCCTCTGTAGTCTCTGCCCTGGACCCAGATCCATTACCCTCCAAACCTCCTTCAGCCCAAGTCATCCCCAGGTCCTGACTTACCTTTGGGTCCTTGCCCTTGAAGCTGCACTGTTGCTTCCTCTCTGCATCTGCACTCCACAGCAGCTGGGGAATGAGAGGAGAAGGAAAGTGTACAAGAATTATGGAGGATTCACTGAGCCAATTTCCTCTCCCGTCTGCATCATCCTCAAACCCAGAAGGTCAGGCTTCTTGTCGTTCTCTCTCTGCCCAGCCTAACCAGTCCTGGACAATATCTCTCACCTCCTGATATTTCCCGCCTGGCCAGAAACTGAGGCTGGTGTTGAGTGCAAAGAGGGCCTCCCGGGCACCAACGTACAGAGTCTTGCCATCTTTGCTCAGCAGAAGAGCTGTGTAGTTAGAGATGTTTTCACCTTCAAATTTGAGGATCGGCCGATCTTTGGAGCCTGGGGAGAAGATTGACATTACCTAGGGACAACCTTTCATTCCATGACAAACCTCTTACACCAACCTCTTGATTGGGCCAGTTTAATTGAAGGCACTGGGTGGCAAGGGGTTGGGAGCAGGAGGGACAGGTTTAAAAATTATATAAGAAACAAACAAAAACTTATATAACAGGCTGGATGCAGTGGTGCACGCCTATAATCCCAGGGACTTGGGAGGCTAAGGCAGAAGGATTTCAAGTTCAAGGCCAGCCTAAGTACCCAGACCCTGTCTCAAAAAGAAAAGAAAAAGAAAAAGCTGGGAATGTAGCTCAGTGGTAGAATACCCCTGGGTTCCCATTCCCAGTAACAAAAAATGAAAAAGTATAGGTACCCTTGATATAAATTTTAAGTATCATTCATTATTGCAGAATATGAAGTAATAATACTAATTACCTACCACAAAGTGAAAATCAAGGTTGTAGAGTAGTACATATGGTCAGATTCTTTTATTTTGTGGGAAAAATACAAACAAACAAACAAAAAATCTAGGGGCTGTGGTTGTGGCTCATGGTAGAGCACTTGCCTAGCAAGTGCGAGGCACTGGGTTTGATCCTCAGCACCACACAAAATAAATAAAACTTTAAAAAATCAACTAAAAAAAAAATCCAGAAGGATGTAAAAAAATGCTGAAAAGCAGAATTTCTAGTAGGATTGCAGGTCATTTTTTTTTTTAATTTTCACTTAACACTTTTGGATTCTACAATAAGCAGGTTATACTTGTATACTGTGAAAGATACAAATCAGAGAGAAAGAAGAAAAACGAAGTAAACGCACCCACTGATTCGCCAGGGTATTGTTTATGCTAGGAGTACCTAATAGGTTTTGAGAGTAATTATTTGAAAAATACTTTTGTTCTAAGCAGCTGATGAGAACAGAAAAACAAGTAAAATGCAGCCTCCTCCTCCCAGCAACCTCAAGCAAGTCCTAACTGACCAGTGGATTATGACCACACAAACAAACACAGTCTCATGAAGCTGAGGGAGCAAAAAGGCCATGCCAACAGAGCAGTTATGAAAATGACTTCATGTGTGTTTGTATGTGAGTTTCTTTTACATACCCTCAGACTGGCTCCACAATAGGCAAGAAACACAAAAGAAAGTAGTGAAATATAAACATGAAAATCAAGGGCAGAGGGGGGAAATATCTGAAGACTTAAACCAGAAAGAAAGAAAAGAGTCACATAAGCAGGTCATGAGGTCTCCACACAGCTACTAGAAATGGATTGCACATTTAATGTAGAGCCTCCTCCTGGTGGCCAAAGAGAAAAGGGAAATGAAGTTACTTTGTTTTCACTGTTTAAGAGAAAGAATGCACATGAGCCTTTTCTGGAAAACTCAGTTTTTCGGCCCCTGGAAGTTAATGCTCAGGGAGCTCTCAGGTGGGTCTTCCCGGTATACGTGCCCAGACATGACATGGAGAGCATCTTGACAGAATGCTATCTTGACAGGATAACAGCAGGTCCAAGCCCACTCCTGGTGAGAGGAAGTGGTGACACAAGGAGACTAGTCGTAGGAGTTTATAGGGAACGTGTGTAGGCTCTGCAGCTGGAAGTCTTGTCACACTCTGGAACCAGAGCTAGAATTCATGGGGAATTCTTCAGTCCTGCCTGAAGACTAGAGCCCAAACTTTCTACTGAAACCACAGAGGGCAGCTGTAGTCTGAAGAGGATCTCTCTCTCTTTTTTGGTATGAGGATTGAACCCAGGGGTAATCTACCACTAAGCTACATCCCTGTCAGGAGCTGCCACATAGGAGTGAGCTCGGACCCTTGACCTTAGCCTTGAGCCATGTAGGTATGGGACTGGCTTCGGCTCACAGTGAGCTCGAAGCAGGTGGACCTCACCTTTGCTAGGCAGGGAATGAAGCTCTGGAAGTGGACGTCACCCAATGAGACTGGGCTACACCCTGCTGAAGCCCAATCTCTTACCTCATTTGGGTAGTGTCTTCCCCTCAAGAAATAGGGCTTTAGGGGTGCTCTCTCTCACTCTCTCTTTTGTCTGCCTCTCTTGCTTCCCTTGTGGGAGCTGGGGCAAAGAACCCCAAGAAAAAGGTATTTTCTCTGTTTCTGTATGATTATTCAATGCCAACCTAATTCACCTGGAGTGACCCTGACTGATTCAGTCATGTCGCGGCACATCCCCAGCCTTTTTACTTTTTGAGACAGGGTTTCACTAAGTTGCTGAGGCTGACCTCAAATTTATGATCCTCCTGCCTCAGCTTCTCAAGTCGCTGGGATTACAGGCGTGTGCCAACATGCTCAGCTTGAAGAGAACCTCTCTTTAAATGAGTAAGAGGCTATATTTCAACCACGAAGTCCAGAATCACATCAGACTCTAGGACTTCTGCCTTAGAGTCCCAGTTCCTCACCATTTCTACACACTGGAAAGTCCCCAGCACAACCCCCCACCCCCAACTTCTCCTAGATCAGAAATTTCCCCAACATATTGGGATCCAATCACATTGCTTGTATTTTATGCCACGAGCCAATAAGCACGTTGGAACAAGCAATCTCATCTTGTGCTTTGCCCCTGGAAGAACCACCACCCTAGGAGACCCTTCCCTGCTGTGCCAAACACATTGCAGATGCTAACTCTGCATCCCCACAACTGTATGGGACAGCCAGGTACAATTGTCATCACCAGTTTATGAATGAGGTCATCAACCTTCAAAGAGCTTTAAGCCAAAGGAAGCCAGAGCAGGAGGCTGGCCCATGAGGTTTCCTTCCTGAATCCATGGTCCACAAAATATGGGAAAATCCCAGGCCTACCCCTAGAAATTCTGATGCTGCTTATCTAGGATAGGGCCTGAAAATGGGCCATTTTACCAGACCATGGGTGATTCTGAGAAGCATCAAGTGGGCCCTTCTGTATGGCAGGGTAGACGTCAACTCACAAAGTTATAGTTTCTTCATTCAAATTATAGGGATAATGAAAAAAGAAATTCACAAGATTCTCGTGAAGAATCAGTGAGATTAAGGCAAATAGCTACATCTTTCACATCCCTCCACAACACTTTCTGAAAGCAAGGACGGCCTCCAATTTGCCAATGCTTATCTGCCTGCACTGGAGGGGCATTTCCAACTGGGCGGATCCTGTAATTTTGAGCAGGAGGCCACCCTTGGAACATGTCCAAACAGAAATGCCAAGAGTTGGAGATAAGCTGAAGTCCCAGGTGGCAGCTCAACCCCTTTCAGGCCTGGGAGGAGGATGGCAAGCTGCCCAGGGTCTTGCAGATAGAGCACAGCCAGGCTGGAGGGGAAGCCTGGTCATCAGTGGGTCCCTTGTCCTCCAAACAATCCAGTTGCTCCAGAACCCCCACATCCCTCCAGTCATCTTGGGAGTACACTTTTCAAAATGCAAAAGGACAGAAAGTGGAATGTACCTTGAGGTAGGTAAGGGTCCCTTGGCTCCATACATTTCCACTGGGGACTGCTTTCCAAGCTTGCCCACATCCCTCTGCCTGAGCCTCAGAATTAAACCCATAGTTTATGGATGTCCTTGTCCCCTGACACTGTGGGCTTGGCCAGGGCTGGTTGGTGGATCTGGCTTCCCCACTGGACATCTCAACAAGACAGAGATTGAGAGTACAAACTGGAGTCAGAGACCTGGATTCACACCCAGCCTCTGGCACTCACTAGCTGTGTGCCACCAGGACAAGCCATTTAACTTCTTACAGCCTCACTTTCCTTATCTGTAAAATGGGGACAATCAAAGCACTCTGCCTCATAGGGTTGTTAGGAGAAGAAATGAGATTATGTAGGTAAATAATAATATACATAATAACCCACATTTACTGAGAGCTTTACTCAAAACAACTTTGCACACGTTACTCTGTGCTGGCATGGTGTCTGGCACACGATCAATTCTCAAGTGGCTCAAAAACAAAATTCAAAAGCCCTGCAGGAAAATCCAGCCAGGCGAGAGTGGCCAGAGGGGCAGGGCCATTGGAGGAGTGGGGCCTCCCTCACCTGTGTGGTTAAAGCACTTAGTCTAGATGATTCTAACTAGGCCTGAATTTGGTCACTCAAGGGTCTCATGGCCAAAACAGCTCAGAAATAGAAATGTGCATGGGTTGCAGGTATGTGTTGCATACTGAGCTGGACTGTGCCTGACTGTGTGAGTGGTGTTAATGCCTAAGCTCGCAGGTGCCTGGGGTCACCTCCAGTGTAGATGTGACTGTAGATGCCTGTGTGGTGCTCTGCCTCTGTCTGTGTCTATGTGCACCTAACCACAGGGCCTGCCCATGCTTGTGTGCTCACTCCTGGGTGCTCTTTGTGCAGAGGTGACTGGACAGGTGTTTCTGCATCTTGCTCCCTGCAAGGGTTGGTAAATCTTGGGTCAGTTTTACTTTTATGTTGTTCTCTGTTGTGGCTCCAGTGCTAACGAACACGTCTCACCTTGTCTACTGGGCTGCATGTGCTGCTTAGACATCCTCCAAATCCATCTACCCAGTAGGCTGTCCACTATAAAGAAAGCTGGGCCTGTCTGAGGCTGTGGCTGGTTTTCCCAGGCAGGATGAAAGCCCACCTTCTGCCCTGGGCTGGCCAAAACCATGGCTTCTCCAAGACCAGTGCAAGCTAGGCAGAATATCCTCCCAGAAGGCAGGATGGAGACTGGCCCGGAGCTGTCCCAGCACCAACCTTCCTAAAGAGGGAGTGCTGCGTTAGGCACATCAGGGTCACCTGTGGGCTCACTCCCCACCCCAGAGGTGTGGGTTTTCAGCAGGAAGTGATGTGGGAACAACTCAGACCCCAGCCCCTTCTAGAGTCTCTCCCCTTCCCTGTGACTCAGCCGGAAGCTTGGTGCTCTCTGAGTTAAGACGGGAAAAGAGCTCAGTACCATCCCCACCCTGGGCAGTCCCCACCCCTGGCCTGCCAGTGAGTTGTAGCAGTGCCATGACTCAGAGCTCCACCCCACCTTTCTCTCCTCCATGGCTCCTGGCATCGCAGCAAGATGCTGACCT